GAAGAAGAAGAAGAAGAAGAAGAAGAAGAAGAAGAAGAAGAAGAAGAAGAAGAAGAAGAAGAAGAAGAAGAAGAGAAAAGAAAAGAAAAAAGTCATCAGGCACAGCATGACCAGGGCGCGTGCGCAGCTTGGGGGGCACGCGCTACCCACCCCAGTACAGCCCGAAATGAAGCAGCTAGGCTGTGAACTCCGGTCACAGCAGAGAAACTAAGGTGCCGGCACCCACAGCCTGAGGACAGTATGAGGGGCTGGCTTTGCTTCCCTCGGCGAAGGACGGTGCTGAAAGGCTGTGTGTATTTTTCTAAGTTTATCTTGGTTTTGTCCCTCTCCCCCATCCTTTATCCTTGGGTTTTTGTTTTGACTCTGTTTTCTTCAGGGATACTGGGGATTGAATCTGAAGAGTGGTGAGCTACATCGCCAGCCCATTATTTATTTTATTGATCAATTGATTTAAAGCAGGACACTGTGGCACAAACCTGGCATCCTGGCACTCAGAGGCTGAGGCAGGAGGATCCCTGTGACTTCGAGACCAGCCTGGGCTACAAAGTGAACTCAAAGCCAGCCTGCACTACAAAGCAAGACCCTGTCTCAAATAAATAAATGAATAAATAAACAAACAAATAAATAAATAAAAACTGCGCCGGCTGGCCTCATGCTTGTGCCCCTCCTGAGTCGCGGGGTCATGTGTGTGCCACCTGTTTCCTCTCTTTTGCTTTGTTCCTGGGGTTCCTGGGATGGAAGCCCCAGCCTCCCGGCCCCCTGCGTGCTGAGTCAGTGATGTCAAGGTGTCTTGTCGCGGGTGGCAGGGTCTCCCGGCGAGGTCCGGCCCTACTGCTGTACAAACACAACTCGGCCCAGCCCCGGACAGCCCATCCCATCTCCAGTGGTGCGGTCACCGTGACCAGGCCTCGCAGAGCCGGCGGCTCGGGCCACGACCAAGGCCACGGATCCTGGCCTCCCTCCTCCCCAAAGGCGCTGCGTCCCAGGCAGGGCCATGGGTGGGCAGCGGCGGCCACGTGGGTGGAATTCAAATCTGTGTCGACCCCACCAACCTACTGGTGGGCAGTGGGCAGAACAAAACCGAGGCTCCGCGCCAGCGAGATACTCAGTGAAATAAGGGCTTGCCTGGCAAGCACAAGGTCCAGAGTTCCATCCCTGGTACCACGAAAACGAACCAAAACAAAACAAAACCGAGGCTCCTCTGCCCCCTGGTGGACACTGGTGGCCGCGCTGGCCTGCGGGAGTCACCTCCTCAGCCCAAAGCAGTCTAGAGCCCTGGAATTCTCCAGTGGAAGTGGCCATGAAGAGCAGAACCTTGGGTTAGACAACAGCTCCCAACATAGAGCACAAGCAACAGAAGGGGAGAAAAGGTAAATCTGATTTCGAAAAAGTCACACTTTTTGCCGTGTGGGTGAGCACAAGCCTGTAATCCCAGCACTCAGGAGGCTGAGGCTAAGGATAGTGAGACTTGGTCTCAAAACGAAAAGAAAAACAAACGAACATTAAATGTTTTACCTGCTAGAACTCCATCAAGCCAGGCGTGGTGCTGCAAGCCTGTCATTCCCCTCAGTATGGAAGGCTGTGGCCGGGCCAGTGGATCACAAGTTCCAGCCCAGCCTGGACAACTGAGTGATTTAATGAGACCCTGTCTCAAAAAAAAAAAAAATTGTTTTACAGGGCTGGGGAATGGAGCTCTGTGGAAAGGCCCTGGGTTCAATCCCCAGGCCTGGCGGAGGAAAGGCAAAGGATTTCAATGGACACATCTTCCAGGAAGATTCAGTAAGTAGCCAGTAAGCACCTGGAAAGTAACTAACCAGAAGTTAAAATACAGAGGGGCTAGCGCTCAGTGTTCCAGCATTTGCCCAGCCCTCGTCGGGCCCGGGTTCCACCGCTAGCACTATGAAGGAAAAGGAATCTTCACGTTGGTCGCTACAGAGAAACACAAGCCCAGCCCCGCAGGCCCAATTTCTACACCACGGGATGATTACCTGAAAAAGAAGAAAAATACAAAAATGTGGGAGGGGGCCAGCCAAATGGCTCAGTGGATTAAAATGCCTTCAGGCAGGTTCAGGGGCTGGGGTCCGATCCCTGGGCCTTCTGTGCCAGCCATGCCCCCATGGCAATTGAGACTGGGCGTGGTGGCATGCGCCTGTAATCCCAGCTCTCGGGAGGTTGTAAACAGGCAGGTCACCACGAGTCCCATCTACTAGTGAGACCCTGAACACCCTGTGGACCCTTCCCTAAAATACAAAAAAAAAAAATGTTGGAGGGCTGGCCAGATATCCACCAGATTAAAGTCCTGTTTAGGCAGCCGTGCCGACCCCACCCCAGGGCGAGCTGAGACAGTGATTGAGACTGGGCGTGGTGGCTTGTGTATGTAATCCCAGTGCTTGGGAGGCTGAAAACAGTAGATCACTACAAGAACAATCCATGTAGGGAGACCCTGCAGACCCTATACTAACTACATAAAAATAAATAAATACATTTTTTTTTAATGCTGGCAAATGCGTGGAGTAGAGGGAACCACCCCCCACTGCCGGTGAGATTGAGAAATTCCCACGAGCAGGAGCACCAGCGCAGGACGCTGCAGTCAGGGTTTGCAAAGGCAACAACACGGATACGTCATTTATAGGATTATCTTATAGCAGCCACCCCGAGAGTCATATACAAAGAGTGAAAGAAATCTGTCCACACCCTGACGACCAAAGAATCCAGCTGAGGGCCTGGGTCCCACAGCCATGTCCTGCACGAGGCTTCACGGCCGAGAGCGCCTACCCCCGCCTCTCACAAGTCCAGCTGGAGGCCGAGTGCCATGACAAGGTCTCACGCAGCCCGCTTCACAGAGCTGTCCCGGGAAGGCCCCAAGGCCAGTGGGGGGAGCGAGGAAGTCTGTGCCAGCGGGACGCAGGCTGTGCCCCAGGCTCGGGTCTGCACAGGAACCAGGAAGCGACACTCAAGGTGAGAACCAGACTCTCCTGAAAAGCACCAGAGCCATGCTCAGTGACAGCACGCAGCTCCTCAGCTCCTCTCATATGCGATCTGCTACACAGCATGTTCCTGACCAATGAACAAGTTCCATTCCAGAAGGACGCAGGAAGGTCGGAAGTCCAACCCAGTGAGCCTTACACACCTGTGCCGCAAATACACAATGAACATTCTCTGCACTCCTGGCTGTCCCCTCCACAGTGCTGCAGCTTTTCCTTTTGCTTCCAGTCTCCGGTTGAACACCATGATGCCCCGAGCACAGCACAGCATGACCGTGACAGCATCTGGCAGACTCGGGAGCTATTTCTGGGATTTGTTCCCATCTGCGAATGTTCACAGTGCCAGGTCGGTGCGTATCTGTGAGAGCTCACAACCTGCACAGGACGTACTGTCATTCAGCACTGAAAACAGCCATTCGCAAGCATGGGTCGACCCAAACAAGGTCAGCAGAGCAATCCCAAGTGCTTTCATGGACTTAAAAGGAGTTGGCAGAGAGTTCCACGCTTTCAGGATTTCACTTTCAGAGCTGCCCGTGGCCCCATCCTTTGTCATCCCTTCACACACCACCTTTTCTATCTTCTCAAGTGTTGCACGCAGGTCACAGAATTTATTTTTCCAGATAGAGCTTTCTTGAAATTCCAACAGCTCCATTTCTAGATTTCCATCATCTAACCAGCGTAAGCAGGACAGATCAAGTTCTTCCAACCTGGCTTTATCTGGAGAAGTAAGAAAACACAGGATGGTCTCCATCTTACAGAATGGTAAAAATCTGTTACCAAAAGTTTCCTTCGCAGCAGCTACCACACTTGAAAACTCCTTGCAGACTCCCTGATGGCTGGAAGGACTGTCAGCAAACGCTGTAGAATTTTCTAAATGCATTTTTAGATTTGGAAAATATTTCAGCTGCCCACTTTCAAGGTCTCTTTCAAAACCCTGCAGTTTTCCTGCAAATGTTTTGATATCACAAAACATCCTTTCTGCTGTCTTCCCTACGCCCTGAAGTTTTCTGTTCAGTACACTGAAGTGTACTGTAAAATCTGTGAAAAACATGAGGTTATTAAGCCAAGCTGTATCCGTGAGCTGTGGATAGTCCTGCCGGTTTTCATTCATAAACAGCCTAATTTCATCCAAGCAGGCGACAAATCTCTCCAGGACTCGTCCTCAGCTCAGCCACCGGATACTGTTGTGCATACGCAAGCCATTATACTGTGCCCGAACCTCAGCCAGCAGTGCTTGAAACTGTCCAAAATAATGAGCACGAGCCCCAATGTAATTCACCATTTTTGTGACATCATTGAGGACAGCATCTAACTTCTGGCTGCTTCCCCTGGCACAAAGGGCTTCTTGATGTATAATACAGTGAAAGGGGATGAGGGGGTGTTTTGCTTCTTTAGCAAAGAATTGTATGAAACCAGAGGTTGCCCCCACCACATACGGGGCACCATCACTCGAAACTGAAACTACTTTTTCTGGTCTTATGTCTTGTGACACAAAAGCCTCCATCACAGCATGGTAGACATCTATGCCCTGTGTCCTTCCAGGCAGAGACACCAGCTTCACCAGCTCTTCCCTCATGGCGTCACCAACAGCATAACGCAAAATTACGGCCAGCCTCACACGATTATTTACATTTGGGCTTCCATCCAAGCACATGGAGTAACAGGCTGCCTTTTGATTTTATTTTTATTTTTTTAAAGTAAAGCTTTATTTTTATTTTTTTACATTTATTTATTTGTGTGTGTGTGTGTGTGTGTGTGTGTGTGTGGCCAGCTCAGCCCACCAGGGGGTGGGGCTGGCTGGCATGTGGTGCTGGGGGATCGAACTGCGGTCCCTGTGCTTTGCCAAGCTTGTTCCAAGTAGGTGCTTTAGACCACTGAGCCATCTCACCAGCCCCACAGGCTGCCTTTTGTAAGTCAGTGGTGAGCTGCTGGCTAGCACCACCTGCCGCGTGCCGGGCTCGATCTCTAACAGAATTTCTGCTCAGGGGCAACTCTGAGATGCGCTGCATAATTTTATCCTTGTTTGGGAAATCATGGAAGAGGGAATCACTCCCAGACAGCATAGCCGTTTTGATGAACTCTCCATCAGACAAAGGCTTTCCCTGCTTCGCGATGCACAGTGAAATCTGAACGCTGGCAGCTGTGAGGTACTGGGAATGGTGTTTCCTCAGTTTCCCTTCAAGAAACTCTCTCCTTTCAGTTTCACCAAGTTTGGCCACACTTTTATGGTTGGTGTCAAAGTGCCGCCTGACATTTGATGTGCAACACACAACACTTGCGTTACACAGGGTACATAGCGCTTTCCCATTGTGCTCGATCACTCCAAATAACGCTGTCCAGGCCTCCTGGAATGATCTTCCACTATCCGCTTTCAGTTTTGCTTTTTTTGGTGTAGTCATTTTGGAAGGTTCAAGACTTGGAGTGTACAAAAAACACAATTTTTTTTTTTTTTAAGTGAAGCACCCAGTATAAATTAGCCTTACACCAAAAATGGCTAACGCTGAAGGCCTGGGTATTCCCCGAATCGACAAGCTAGGGCAGTGAGTCTCTGCAGGCGTTCCTTTTGAACGTGCAGACCACCAGCGCATGGGGGCGATGTTCCACCGACGGCCAGCTTTTGGCCTGCCATCTGAAAGCACTTCCTACCTCGCAGGGCCTTCTAACATCACAACCAGTGCAAGCAAATATGTATCTTTCCTTTTGGTTTCATTAATTCTTCCCAAACAACCAAATATGACACTTCAGATTCAAATAGGCGAGGGGGTCGGTACAACATTGAAAGAATCTCAGGCTTTATTAGAACATCTTCGACATTAAATTTCAATTTTTCGTAGGAAAAGTCAAAGATAAAATCTTGAATTAATAAAGATAAATATATTAAAACTCACAGCCGATCCAAACAAATATATCTATATAAATCCTTAGCAGCGCACTGATTGCCCAAGATACCGCTCTACAGAGTCGCAGTTCCTGACGTCATCGCCTGGCGCAGCTATACGCACCCGAGCATGCGCATTTCCCCTACGTGCGCAGTTAGTTGCTCTACCACTGGAGTGTTACTGGGGAGACTTGGCTCGCGTGCATTTAGATCGGGCTCCGTGTGCCTGCTGCTGCACGTGTGCCATAGATTTGTCACGGCTTAGGTACATGGCTTGAGACCTTCCTGACACATCAGGAAACAGTAACACAACCACCGACATCAGAGTGCCTACAACTTCCAGGGTACCACGCGCACCGATGCTCCCTTAAGACCTCGGAGAAAAAGGCAGAGCTAACTGCACTGCCTCCTGGGAAATGTAGTCTCGCCTCTGATGGGGGGGTTGCTGCGAATCTGTAGGCGGACTCGGAGCCAATGAACGGGCCACCTCTTGGAGTGCAAGACGAGAAATCCAATAAGACCGCGACTTTGGGAGGGTGGGACTTCCGGCACTGAATCGTGGTGAGCGGCTGCGCTAATTGAAAGACTTCCTTTTTGTGGGTGGCGGCAGGCGAGCTGGGAGCGCTATGAAGGCCTCGGGCACAGTAAGGCGTTTGCGGCGGGGCTGGGAGCCGGGCGGCACGGCGCGGCGGGAACCCCATCGAGAGCGCGGGGAGGTGGTGCGGGCCGGGTCGGTGCGGCGCGGCCCCGGGGCACCCGTGACGCGCGCCGCCGCCTTTGCGTGCCCGCAACATGGCGGCCGCCGCGTGGGACTGGACGTGGCCCGGCCGGCCGGGAACGAGCGCGGCCCCAGAGAGGCTGCTCTGTTAGCTGGGGAGCGGACCCGAGGCGCCTTCGCAGGGCTGCGCCGCGCACCCGCGGGCCGTTGAGCCTCATTTTCTTGCAAAGCGTGGGGGGGGGACACGTCCCGTCAGAGGAACTGGAAGAAAATGACGGGTCTCCCGCGGATTCCGGGAGCGCAGGGCAAAGGCAGACGGGGAGGGGCGGGGAAGGGAGGCGAGGCGTTCTGTGAGGAGTCTCCCCCAGGCGAGGGAGCGAACGGAGGTCGCCGGCTCGGGCTCTGGAGGAAAGCCCTCGGTCGTTATTTCTGCCTGGTACCAACGCAGCCAGGGCCGCCACTGAGGCGACCTGTCAGCTGTATCGTGCGCTGGGGCTCGACTCGACCTTCACACCTCGGCAGGGTTTTTAATTTATTTTTTTAAGGGGGGGGGGCTCGTTACGATGCTACCTCGCTGGCCCTTTTTTATTGCAAGGTAGGGTCACAATAAGTTTGCCAAGCTGGGCTTGCACTTGTGCCAATTCTTGGACCTCACCCTGTCAGGGTGCCCAGGTTACACGCCCCCTCATGACCAGCCCCGGTCCCGTTTTGTTCGTTTCCTGAGACAGGGTCTTGATACCTAGTTCAGACTGTCCTGACCTTGAATTCACTGTGTATCCCACGCTGGTCTTCAGCGTGGGAGCATTACAGGCTTGCGCCTGCCACATCCCCTCCTCCCGCTCTTATCTGGAGAAAGGGTCCTGTCAGATGGCCTGGGCTGGGTTCCAACTGGCCAGCCCCTGCATTGGTTTGTCAGTCTGCCAAGATCGCAGGTGTGCCACCAGACCCACCACCTTCACACCAAAGCTGGGGGCAGCAGGGCTGGGACACACAGCTCTGGAAAGACCTGTGCTCCTGTCCCGGTTCTGTCTAGAGTGGGCTGTGAAAACCCTAGCTATCACTGTCTCTCGGGCCAGAGAAGATGGTGGCTCTGTTGTGAGCCAGAGCGACACAGTGCAGAAGGAGGAAACTGTTGCTCTGTGTTCCCACCTGGGACAGAGTGGGAGCCTTCCTGACTCGGGCTCTTTCTTAGCTTATTAGCTTAGCAAGGGTCAACCCTCCCGTGTCCCTCTCTGTGTGGTGTGTAGGGTCTGGAGTCACCCAGGCCCTGGCTGATGGACCTGCTCTGCCCTTTCCTTTCAGCTCCGGGAATACAAGGTGGTTGGGCGCTGCCTGCCCACCCCAAAGTGCCACACGCCGCCTCTGTACCGCATGCGGATTTTTGCACCCAATCACGTCGTCGCCAAGTCCCGTTTCTGGTACTTCGTGTCCCAGCTGAAGAAGATGAAGAAATCTTCAGGAGAGATCGTCTACTGTGGGCAGGTGGGGGCTGCAATAGACTCAAGCGTTCCTGTTCCCGTGGGTCCACTGGCTGGGGGTGAAGGCCGTGCCTGTCACCTGGGTGGGTAGGAGCATGGAGAGAGAGGAGAGCCCAGCTTGGCGCACTGTACCCCTACCTAGTGTGCTCCCCGAGGAGGTTAATAGATACATGACTGGGCGGCCAGAGCAGGAGAGCCTGGCCTGCTCAGAGGGGTCAGGGGCTGCTGCCAATCATGTTCCCACCTGCCATCCTCCATTGACCCAGGTGTTTGAGAAGTCTCCGCTGCGGGTGAAGAATTTTGGCATCTGGCTGCGCTATGACTCCCGCAGTGGCACCCACAACATGTACCGGGAGTACCGGGATCTGACCACAGCAGGCGCCGTCACCCAGTGCTGTAAGTAGGGAGTGGTCAGGGACCAGGTTGAGGGTTCTGCAAGCCCCCGAGCTGAACTCCTTCCCTCTTGCACCTCAACCCAAGAATCGCAGCTTGCTGTAGTGGCGGTTTAAACAGGGGTGCACACAGCAAGTGAATCTCGTCGCCTTTGGAGGGCTGTGGCAGTGCCCATCAAAGTGAATTTGGAGGTTCTACACCCCTTGTGGCCAATGCCCACAATCTCCAATTTGGGGCCCTGTCAAGGCTGCCTGCCTGAGCATTGTGTCCCCTGTTCCCCCATAGACCGGGACATGGGTGCCCGGCACCGAGCCCGCGCCCACTCCATCCAGATCATGAAGGTGGAGGAGATCGCAGCCAGCAAGTGCCGCCGGCCCGCTGTCAAGCAGTTCCACGTGAGTGCCAGTGACGCAGGGCCAGGGAGGAGTGGGGGCGGCCACGCCTGGGTGGGCTCTGGAGCAGCCGGCCCGCACCCTCACCCCTGTCCTCCCACAGGACTCCAAGATCAAGTTCCCACTGCCCCACCGGGTTCTGCGTCGCCAGCACAAGCCCCGCTTCACCACCAAGAGGCCCAACACCTTCTTCTAGAGGCAGTGCCAATAAACCTGGCGCCGCTCTGCACTGGCCTGGCACTGTTTTCTTTCCACTTGCAGAGCACGGCAGGGGGCCCAGAGGCCCTGCACTGCCCTCTCCTGCAGGCCCGGCTCGGCACATGAGCGGTCCTGCTGCCGGCCTGGACCCCAGCTGTTCTGCTGCTGCTGCCCTAATCCGCGTAAGGAGCTTAGGGCCTGTCCTTCACCCTCCAGCGCCGTCTCCAGGAAACCTGAGAATTCCAGGCACAAGCTAATCCCACCCTTCCCTGCTGGGCTCCACGAGCCTCCCGAGGGGCTGCCTGAGGGGCAACAGCCGAGCTTGGGGAGGGACTGCGGAGCCGCACCAGGCCAGGCACAGGTTCCTCGTAATGTCCTGGAGAGCTGTGGGTTGGAAGGAGGCTGCAGAGGTGACCTTGGTGTCCACAGCAGTAGTGTGGCTGCCCCAGCTCCAGCAAGGGGGGAGGAGGGGAGTAACAGGGCAGCGTTGGTCCTGGGGAGGCCTGGGGACAGCCCTGCCTGGACAGTGGCACCCCTGTACCTCCCCAGCAGAGGGGACGTTGCCAGGCACCAAGGAGTTCAGATGCCCACCAGCCCAGCGCTGCGCAGACCTGGAAGCGTGCCATCCCGGGCATGGGAGCTCATCCCCAGAGGCCCCCCCAGCCGCGCCTTCCCTTCAGCCCCAGGCGGCACTGGCCGCCACTTCCAGAAGTGCGCTTGCTTGCCACGTGGGTAGAATGTTTGAATTCCATGACAGTGCCAAAAGGGTGCGTTGTTTGGGTGGGGGATTACAGGGAGTTGAACTCCGAAAGGGCCTTGTGCTTGCCACGCATGCACTGTCCTGCTGGAGCTGCCTCCATGGTCCACCACAGAAAGATTTGCTTTCCCAGTGTCACCAGTTTGCGGACTTGTGCACAGACATCTAGCTGTCCTACATAGAGCACACCTCCTATTAGTGATAGCTCCATAGTTTGATGCCTTCCAGGAAAAAACACATTTCCCAGCCACCCTTCCAGGGTGTCCATGTGACACTAGCAGCAGTGGTAGGTGCCATTTGTAGAGAAATTACTGGACCCATCCGGTTAGTGGGTGCAATGGCCGTCTTGAACCATGAGGAAATAATACTGATATACCAAAAGGAGTTTGGGTACCTGTCCCTGTGACGTGCTCCTTCCCCTCCTTGGCACTCTAACCTTCCATTAGACGTGCATGTGTGATCCAGAGCTAGGATCTGTCTGCTGTTATCTACTGTCTGTCACCCTGAGTGGGTGTGGTGCCATGTGACTCAGGCCTGATAGCTGTGCTGTGGCAAGTCCCTGCCCACTTTGGTGTGAAGCCCAAGTAGGTGGGAGGTGGAGCTACACTCAGGAGGGCTCTGGGGCCCCTCTGGAGGGCACCATCTGAGGACTGCGGAGGCCAGGTGGGCCAGCGGTACGGCCTGGGCCTGTTGTCCCCGACTCTGCACTCATGTGTCCTCCTGCACCGTGTCCAGGCAACGGAGGCTCACTGCCACTCCTGAGCCCTAGTGCAGAGGCTTGTGTCGCTTGGAGGGACATGGAGCACAGACCCTAGGCCTTCTTCCAGGGTGGCAGAAATCGCCCCTGCCCTCAGCTGTGGGCTCTGAGGGACCCAAGCACTTGGTCCCCGGAGCCCAGGGGTTATTGAGGCACAGCTTCGTCCCCTCCGGAGTCTCAAGAGGCCCCTGGGCCAGGCGTGGGTAGAGCTTGAGTTTGGGGACAGATGACGGTTCTGTAGGCCTCTTGGTCCCACAAGACTTCTAACCTCTGGTCAGGGCCTGCACCCTGCAAAGGCTCTGTTAGTCACTAGTGGAGCCCGCACCCGGAAGGGCACACAAGCCATGAAGTCTTCGCCCCGACCTCCACACGCCCCAAGTGCCCTTGGGTCCCCAGGAATCGGCGGGGGCCCCGCAAGCGCCTGCGCGCTAGTCCCCTGCCTGTCCCGGAGGCGGTTGTGAAAGTGGCGCAGCCGCTCCGCGGCGCCTCGTGAGGTCCAGGGCTGGTCCCAATCCTAGGCTACAGCCGGCTTTGGAGACCGGGATCCCGCGAGGCTGCGCCCGGGCTCTCTGCTGCCTCCCTGTCTCCCCTCTCCCCACTGCGAGCCCTCCCGAACGTCTGGCCCGAAGCGAGCTAGCCTCGATTCGGCTTGCTCTGCGTGTCTCTGGTGAGCCTCCCTCAAGCTCGGGCTGGCCTCGAGTATCGCCTCCGCTTCCCGGGTCCTGGGTGTACGCGCCGCGCCCGGCTCCTCAGCTCTTTCCTCACCTGGAGAGCTCAAGAAAGTCCCCTCCTAGGGACCCAAGGCGCCGCCCGCCCCCAACCTCAGCCAGGCTGTCCCCATCTCGCCGTTGCCCCTGGACTGGCTGCTGGGTCCCTGAGGGATGGCCCGCGGAGGAAAGTCAGCCCTGCACTGCGCGCTCGCGATCGAAGGGCCATTTGCCCACCCCTTCATCCCTCCGCGTGCTTTTGAGGTGCGCCTTAGTTCTGAAGGACATCCCCTATCTCCCTTCTCCGGTTGGCTGTGGTGTGGCCCAGCCTGGAGAAATGTTGACAGGAGTGGAGAGAGAAGCAGGCCGCCCTGCAGCGAGGAGCCTCGGGTGCCACCGAGGAGCTGAGGCGGCTGGAAGAGGCCGCAGGGGCATCCTTCAGCCCTAGGACCCAGGACGCTGAGGGCCCAGCGGGGACCCGAACCTCCAGAGGTGACAGCTCCTAGGCTTCTGAACTTCACGCTCCCCTCGTGGTCTCCAAAACTCCTGGCTCCTGACTCGCAGGGACCCTATACAATGACGACCGGCTGCCAAAGCCAACAACACGAATGGAGACTTTGGGCCCATTCCAAACTTCCCCAGGGCCGGGATGTATCCCAGCGACACAGCATCTGTCTGGCGAGCGCAAGGTCCTCAGTTCAATTCCCGGTCCAAAAAATAAAAATAAACTATTTCCCAGAGCCGTCCCATCCCTCTTTAGAGGTGAGAAAACCGAGGCCCGAGAGAAGCAAAGAATCCCTCCCTTCCTGTTTCCCCACTCAGGATCTGAGCCCCTGTGCCTCCCCAGCAGGGGACACCCCTCCCAGTGTCAGGCAGAAAGTAAGTCCGGGTGCCATTTAGGGAATCTGCAACCCTAACGCTAACAGGACCAGGTCCTGTGAAGAGTGAGCTCCCCGTCGCCCCGGGTAGACAAGCACAGTCGAGCGAAGCCAAAGGGGGCCGGCGGTGAGGAACAAGGATGAGGACTGGGGTGGCCTCCCCATGGTCCCCAGGCAGTGGCCACACGGTGGCCTCTCCCAACTCGACTGTCCCAGCCCGGAAAGGGTGCAGGTCGCGCCGCCTCTTGGGCTGGGGGCGGAGCCGCGCTGACCCGGAGCCCAATAAATCCGCAGCCCCGACCCGCCGCTGCCAGCCCCACCGCGCGGGTCTGTTGTGCACGCCCAGCACTGCGCCGCCCGAGGGGACAGACGGCGGGGACAGAAGGCGACGCCTAGGAGGCCCAGCAAGCCCGGTCCTTCAGCTCCTAGCACCGATGCCAGCCGCCGAGGCGGGGGCTCCGGCCACCTTCGGTGCCTTGGACTACGGCGTCTTCGCGCTGATGCTGCTGGTGTCCACCGGCATCGGGCTGTGGGTGGCGCTGGCGCGCGGCGGGCAGCGCAGCGCCGACGACTTCTTCACTGGCGGCCGAAGGCTGGGGGCGCTACCCGTGGGGCTGTCGCTGGCCGCTAGCTTCATGTCGGCTGTGCAGGTGCTGGGGGTCCCGGCCGAGGCGGCGCGCTACGGCCTCAAGTTCCTGTGGATGTGCGTGGGCCAGGCGCTGTGCTCGACGCTCACGGCCGCGCTCTTCCTGCCGGTCTTCTACCGCTTGGGCCTCACCAGCACCTACGAGGTACGCGGGCTCCCGACTGCTAACCAGAGGAGGAAGGCGCTGGTGCCGGGCCGGGCCGGGCGTGCACTTGCCTGCCCCGCGCGCGCCCCGACGGGCGCCCGCAGCCCGAGCCCCAGGCAGCTCCGCCTCCCTTACCTTAAGCGAGGGGTCATTGCAAGATCTTGCTCTGGGACAGAGAGTGAAGCTGCCAGAGGTGTGTCCGGTATACGGCAGGCGCCAGTGGTACCGGCCGTGGGCATGGGGTGCAGTGGAAGGCGGAACACACGCAGCTCAGAAGCGCCCGTGGGCTGGTGATGGAGGGCGAGAATGAGGGGGCGGAGAGGGGCCCCATAGTCTCGGGCCTCGGCGACCCCTTGTCGGCTGCTCCTCTTCCAGTACCTGGAGATGCGCTTCAACCGCTCCGTGCGCCTCTGCGGGACGCTGCAGTACCTGCTGGCCACGGTGAGCTGCCTCGGCCCCGCCTCCGCTCTATCCTGCCCAGGGCCAAACCGCGCCCACATTACTTCTAGCTCCGCCCACAGCAAGCTCAATCATTCGGACCACGCCCCTACTCAGCTCACCCTGCTCAAGCACAGCTCACCTTTCTCCAGGCTTCGCCCCATTGGCTCCGCCCACAAACTATCCTGTCACTCAGGCCCCGCCCATCCATCTCGGCTCCGCCCATACCTTGCTCTGGTCCCGCCCCTTGCTGCCCTACCGCCCGCCCTCTCTCCCCAGGTGCTTTACACCGGTATTGTAATCTACGCGCCTGCGCTCATCCTGAACCAAGGTTTGGCAGGGGGAGATCTGGGCAGGGGTCCCGGTAGAAAAGGGCCCATGGCGAGAACACCCTCATGGGTGGTTTCTGCTTTTGCAGTGACCGGCTTGGATATCTGGGCGTCGCTCCTGTCCACCGGAATCATCTGCACCTTCTACACGACTGTAGTGAGTGGCCCGGACACACCCTGGCAGGGACGGGCTCGGTTTGTCTTAGTAGGGCAAGGGATCTGAAAATGAAGTGCTGAGACTGAAGGATGTGCCAGCTTCAGGTGTCGCTGGATCAAGGGCTCCCACTACTTTATCCCGTCCGTCTTGGCTCTCTGGACTCCAAGGGCTCAGGGCTGATTTCCCGCTGCAAGAAGAGCTGGCTCGAGCCCCGGGTTGGCAAAACTCCCAAGTGGCTAGAGCCCGCCGGAGCGCCAGCCCGGTGGGCAGGTCCTGCTATTCCAGGCAGATGCTGGGGGGGAGGGGGGAGCGGGGCTCTTCCAAAGAAAACTCCAGAGCCGGGGCGTAGGGAAGCTGCGACTGGAAGGCCTGAAGGGTCAAAATGACGCGGAGTGACAATGACCATCATGATGCCAGAGCGTGGAGATCCTCTCTGAGCATTTGTGGGAGCACTTGTACTCCACGCTCTTCCAAATCTTCATCACATCGATTTCTTTAATCCTAACAACAGGGTGGGTCCTACTGTCCACATTTTACAGGCAGAAAGGCATAGATCGCAACCTCTGCTAGCAGCCACGCTGGGTCAGCCCCCTCTGCCCGCTGTCCTGTCCTGCACAAATGTGCGGCCTCTCTCCCACAGGGTGGCATGAAGGCCGTGGTGTGGACCGACGTGTTCCAGGTGGTGGTGATGCTGAGCGGCTTCTGGGCCATCCTTGTCCGCGGAGCCTTGCTCCTGGGTGGACCCCAGCAAGTGCTCAGCCTGGCCCGGAATCGCTCCCGGATCAACCTGTTGGAGTGAGTAAATTCAGAGGGGGCTAGGGTGTGAGGCGAAGGGCTGTCATGCCAGCACCCTGGGAGGCTGAGACAGAAAGATGGTGAGATCTAGCCCAGCAAATCCCAGCCCTTAGCGATTTAGGGAAATCCTGCCTCAAAAAATAAAAAGGCTTGGAGATGTAGCTAAGCATGAAGGCCTTGGGCTCCATGCCCAGTACTGCAAAATTAAATAGGGGGGCACAGGGTAAACAAGATGCCCTTGTCTCTGAGCTGACTGAGCAGAGAAAGAATGGTTTGAAACTCAATGAAAAAATAAATAAATAAAATAAAATAAAAACGTGGCAAGCTACTCACCCTTCAAAACCTACTCTGAAAGTCCCTTAAGGTCCTGGGGTCCCTGGGAAGGTAATCAGTATCACATCCTCCCATGCACTGTCACCACTCAGCTTTGACCCTGACCCTCGAAGCCGCTACACATTCTGGACCTTCGTGGTGGGTGGCACGCTGGTGTGGCTCTCCATGTATGGCGTGAACCAGGCACAGGTGCAGCGCTACATAGCCTGCAGCACGGAGCGGAAGGCCAAGCTGTGAGTGTCTGGGGAAAAAGGGACGCTTCCGAGACACCTTTGCTGTCCTCCTCCCCTACCTGAGCCTCTCCTGCCCCCAGGGCTGTCCTCATCAACCAGCTGGGCCTCTTCCTGATCGTGATCAGCGCTGCCTGCTGTGGCATCGTCATGTTCGTATTCTACAGCGACTGTGACCCTCTCCTCACCGGACGCATCTCTGCCCCAGACCAGGTGAGCCCCACCCCCACGCCCGCGCCCCATGCTTTAATCAGAGCTGGGGCTCATACAGTAATTAACACAAACCAAAAGACCACTACCCGCCCCACCTGTCCGGACCGGGGACGGCGTAGACAGAAACGGGGGGGGGGGGCGGCGACCCAGAGCCTCCCTTCCCGCCCCAGTATATGCCTCTGTTCGTGCTGGACATCTTCGAGGACCTGCCCGGCGTGCCCGGGCTCTTCCTGGCCTGTGCCTACAGCGGGACCCTCAGGTAGGGGCGGCTCGGGGTGCGAGGGGGTGGGGAGGGCGCGCCCGCCCCGGCTGAGGCCCCTTCCCGCGCAGCACGGCGTCCACCAGCATCAACGCCATGGCTGCGGTGACCGTGGAGGACCTCATCAGGCCGCGCCTGCCCGGCCTAGCGCCCCGCCGGCTCATGCTCATCTCCAAGGGCCTGTGTGAGTGGGGGCACCCTGGCGGGGGTCCGGAGCACCGCGCCCGCTGACGCTCCCATTTCCGCAGCGCTGGTCTACGGCTCGGCTTGCCTCACGGTGGCCGCCCTGTCCTCCCTGCTAGGGGGCGGCGTCCTGCAGGTGAGCCCCAGGTGTGGCTGGGGGGCGGGCGGCGGGACCCCGAAACCAGTGTCTTCAAGGGAAGGAAGGGCCCTGGCCAGGGGAAAACTGAGGCACAGGGGAGTGTCCGGCCCCGCCGCGGCCTTCCTCAGGTCGCCCTCTCCTCCTTGCCCCGGCAGGGCTCCTTCACCGTCATGGGCGTCATCAGCGGCCCGCTGCTCGGAGCCTTCGCGCTGGGAATGTTCCTACCCGCTTGCAATGCTCCGGTGAGGGGGCGGGGCAATGCGTGCTGGGGGCGGGGCATCGCGAGGCGGACAATATGAATGGATGAGCGCGAGGTGGGCAGGGCGATGGGCAAGGACACGGCCCCGCCCCTCACCCTGGCCCCGCCCCAGGGCGTTCTCTTCGGGTTGGGCTCGGGCTTCTTGATCTCCCTCTGGGTGGCCTTGGGCGCCACACTGTACCCGCCCAGCGAGCAGACCATGGGCGTCCTGACGTCTTCGGCTGCAGGCTGTGTGGTTCCCTCCAGCAATGCCTCAGTCCTTCTGGACCCACTTCCCACTCTCAACATCTCCAGGTGAGCAACAAGTGTGAGTGTGGGGCAGGCTCAAGAAGCGCCCACAGAGATGGGAGATAGATCAACAGCACAAGCCCAAGGTCATGAGTTGGACCCAAAAGATTAAATAAAGGATCCCTGCGCAGGGGAGCAGTGGTCCTGGTGGGGAGCAACAGGTGCAAAGGCCCTGTGGCCAGAGCTGGCCTCTGCAGTGAGCTGGGATGGCTGGGACCGAGGCTGCGTTGGAGGCACTGTGCAGCCAGGGGAACTTGATCCTCTTCGGTTCATATAATTCATAGGCTATAAAATTAACCAAGAAAGGGGGGTGTTGCAGGAGCGAAGGTGCAGTCCAGGGGCAGAACTCTTGCCTGGCACACAGGACGCCCTGGCTCAATTCCTAGCACCGCAGTGAGAGGGGCGTGCACGGCTGTAGTAAACTCAGTAGATTAAGGTGAAGATTGACACTTTCTAGCTCAAGAACTCCTCAGCACCCCAAAAGAGCCCTCGCCCCATTAGCAGCCACCTTCCATTTCCACTTCCTCCAGCCCCCGGCAGCCACTAGGCCATTCAAGGGTCACCCGTGGTCACAGTGTGGTCACTGCTTTGGTGAATTTTTAACTGTGTATATTTAGTTTTGTAAGATAAGGCTCACCGTGCAGCCAGGGCTGGCCTCTTAACTCTCAGTGATCCTCCTGCCTCAGCCCCCTGAATGCTGAGATGACAGGCTTAGGCTCCAGCTCCGCGGAGGACCTGGGGCGGCCGGCCCTGGCTGACAGCTTCTACTCTATTTCCTACCTGTACTACGGAGCCCTGGGCACACTCATCACCATGCTGTTGGGCGCCCTGGTCAGCTACCTGACAGGTGAGACGGATGTTGGCATTCTCCCCTCCTGGGCCCCTCCCATGCAGAGAGCAGAGCCTTGCCCTCCGCCACCACCTGCTGTCACCCTCAGGACAGCCCTGCAGCTATCATTTTTGGACAGCACAGAGCCACCCAGGGCCCCCCAGCCAGGTGCCAGACTGAGGTGGGGCGTGGCCGCAGCGCTGTCCGCGGTGCTGAAGTGGTCTGTCCCCTGGGAAGCGGCCACTGTGCGCTCCTGGGGATTTCCCAAGGCTACAAAGAAACAGAAACACACATGGAGCTGGGCGTGGTGGTGCCTGCCTGTTATCTCAGCACTCACGAGGCTGAGGTAGGATTGCTGCGAGTTCGAGGCCAGCCTGGCCTACACAGCAGGACTTGGTCTCCAAAAAAAAACCAAAACACACACAATAAAAGACTTGAAATTCCCCAGGCTTTTACTCAACCCTCCTAGGTGCTGGTTACCATTCCAGTAATCAGGGAAACATCCAGACAATGACTTTTTACAGTCCTTCACGGTGCAGAGGGGGGAACTGAGGCTCAGAGGGGGGCAGGAGATACAGGAGCAGGGATGAGAGTACATCCTGCCCCGGGCCAGTCTCCCAGCACCACAGCCGCTCACCACACTCCTCTACCTGTCCCTCAGGCCCCACGAAGCGCAGCGCCCTGGGTCCTGGGCTGCTGTGGTGGGACCTCGAACGGCAAACAGCATCAGTGGCCCCCAGGGAGGAAGTGGGCACCGTGGATGATGGCCTGGTAAAGGTGAGTCCCTGTGGGCCACCAAGCAAGGGACAGCAAGGTGGCTTGGGGGTGGCTGTCTCCGGGAGGGCTGTGTGTGTGCAGATTGTGCCAAGACTCTCCTTCATCCAGTGGGATGCCCCAGATGGCAGCCGTTCATCTCCCACAGTTACTGGGTTTTGTTTTATGTGACAGGGTGTCACGGTGTCCTCAGGCTGGTCTCAAACTTGTGGCACTGCTCCTGCCTCAGCCTCTTGAGTGTTATGGCATCACACCTGGGGTTGTTTGTTTCTTTTACAATTTCTTCCAATCTATAGCAAGGAAACAGGTTTGCCCTAGGGTATTGATCCAAAGTCTCTTCTGAAAATAAATGTACTAAACTTGAAGTCCAGCCAAGTTGGAGGAAGTCTTACATAAGAAACCCCACAGGGCCAAAGGCTCGCGGCCAGAGCCATGTGACTGCTGAGCAGTTGCCTCAAATCTGGGCCACGGTGGGTCTGATGCCCCCTGGTGGGGAAGATGAAAATAAAGGGGGCCGCGCCCAGCAGGTGGAGCAGTGTGAGGGCGGGGCTCACAGAGGCGCCAGCGCCGGGCAGGACAGACTGTGCAGAAGCCCCGTAGGCAGGGACAGTTGGCGGGGGCAGCACAGGGCGGGTGCAAAGGCCCTGCGGCAGAGTCTTTAAAGCTGCTTCCCAGGACCAGGGAGATAGCTCAGAGGAATAAGTGCTTGCCTGGCAAGTCCAAGGTCCTGAGTTCGATCCCTGGTACCACCAAAAAAAAAAAAAAAAAAGTAAAAATAAATGAGTAAGGGTGTCTCCCACTGCTACACACGGTCTTCTATTTCCTTCTCCCTTCTCCTCCTCCTTCTTTTCTTTGCAAAGCTGAGAACTGAACTCAGTGCACGATAGGCAATCTGTGTAGCACTGAGATACATTCCTGGCCCTTATTTTAGTTTTTAAAGACAGCATCTCACTATGTTGCTAAACTGCCTGGGTTTAAGAATAAATAAAAACAGAAAATAAATTGTCCGGGTTCGCTCAAAATTTGCAGTTCTGCTGACTCAGCCTCCTAGAGTGCTGGCACTATAAGCCCTGAAACACCACGTCAGCTTCCACTCTTTTTCAAACTGACTCATAGCTCAGGTTTGTCTTGAGCTTGCCATCCTCCTGCCTCAGCCTCCTGTGTACCTGGGGTTACTGTGACTGATATCCTACTGGCTTCCAAGTCCTCAGGGTCCCGGTTTGGGACAGAACAGGCACAGAGAAGAAATAGGCCTCTGATAGGTTCCTTTGCTCTCTCCTCCCCCAGAGTCCGGGAGAAATAACTGCAGGAGCCAAAAGCGCCCCCGACTTCCAGCCCATCGAGGAGGACCACCAGCTCTTCCTGCAGAGCCAGGAGAAAGGGTCCGGTCGCTGGGCGCCCAGCAGCGGCAAGGGTCGGGACCTGGACCGAGAGACCAATCTCTGAGGGCAGGGACAGCACCTGGGACGGACCTTTGGATGGCCCAATCCCAGGCCACAGTCAGCGGCCTCACACTCCTATTGGTTGAACAACATTCCTATGCAAATAAGCGTGGACAAGCATAGTCTCCGCCCTTGGGAGGCGAGGCCCCGCCCCTGGAAATCACTGTGCAGCCCCTGGGTTGGGAGGAAGAGAAGGCCCTGGAAGCTTCCAGCTGTGGCTCCCATTGCCTTCTGGGAAGACCCACAGTGTTGCAACCCCCCACCAAATTCATTGAAAACCTCAGAAACGCAGGTGTCCTTGGCTAAGTTAAAGGTTATACTGCAACAGGGTTATACTGCATTCCAAAGGCAAATGCTGCTGAAGAGGGCTGGGGTCTAGCTCAGTGGGAAGCGCTGGCCGAGGGGATTGTGCGAGGCTCAGACTTGCATCCCAGCCCTGCCGAGCCTAAATGGAGACAGTGGACCAGGCGCGCACGGCGGTCACGCCTGTCATCCCAGCACTGGGGGCTAGGCAGGAGGCACAGCAAGTGTGAGGCCAGCCAGGACTACACAAGACCCTGTCTCAAACCAAACAAAAGAAATGAAAACAAAATGTGGAGGAGAAGCAGAGGCCTGCACAGAGGAAAAGCAAAGCAAGTCGCAAGCAGAAGTTAAGCAACAAGTCAAAAGTCAGGAAATTCCGGGGGTTGCCAGCAGCCACCGGGAGCTGGAGGAGGTTGGGACTAAGTTGACACCTTGACTTTGAGCTTCTGATTCCTGAACTCCCAGAGAACTCTGTGTTGTTTTCTGCTGCCCAGCCAATGGCAGTTCTAGTAGCAACAAAAACTCATACTCACCTCCTGACCCAGCCCCTGCCACCTCAAACATGTTTTTTCCTTTCTCAGTAGTATTCCACTGCCTGGATGGGTGGACCTCTGTGTTGTTCCCTGCTGTTGGTGATTAGAAATAAAATTGTTACACACATTCGCACAGAAAGTCTGTATTTTGGGGACCAGGGAGATGGCTAGGTGGACTAACTGCTTCCCGGGCAAGCGCAAGGGCCTGAGTTCAATCCCCGGTTCCGCCAAAAGAAAGGGAAAAAAAGTCTGTATTTGAACATGGCCCTTGTTTTTACCTTGTTTTGTGTTTCTCTATGATACTGAGAACGGAACCCAAGGAGCGCTGAACTAAATCCCCAGCCCTTTTTTTAATTTTGAGACAGTGTTTTACTAAATTCTTCCTGCCCAGGGCCGGCGAGATGGCTCAGAGGACTAAGCACCTGCTTAGGCAAGCACAGGGACCAGGGTTTGATCTCTGGCACCACATGCCACGCTGCTCCCACTCCCAGGTGCCCTAAACCAGCCACTGAGACCAGGTGTGGTGGTGCATGCCTGTAATCCCAGCGCTGGGAAGGCTGAAAAACAGGAGGATCACTATGAGTCCAAGCTGCATAGTGAGACCCTGCACAAAATACATATAAATAAGTTCCTCCTGCCCCAGCCTCCCACAGGGCTGAGATGACAGGTGTGTGCCACAGCACCACACATCATATGTTTAACTTGTCAACAGTTCAGAGCAGAACATTTTCAGTGGTTGTCATGGCCAGAGGTGGCAGCGCACACCTGTCATCCCAGCACTCAGGAGGCTGAGGCACAGGGATCTTTGCAAGTTCAAGGGCAGCCTGGGCTACAAAGTGAGCTCGAGGCCAGCCTGAGCTGAATAGTGAGACCCTGTCTCAAAAACAAAAAAGAAATAAATAACCGGCTGTTGTGAGGGAGCACCCAACAGTTTCCAGGCCTGAGCAGCTCACGCGGACTGTGCAGACTGGTAGTGTGCAGTCTGGTGTGTGCAGTACCTCTTGCTGAGTTCTGGCTGGAGTGTGACTGCTGAATCGTGGTGGTGTCACTGACCATGGCCAAAGCCCAAGGACAGCAGCTCGGCCTCCCGAGACCGCCTCCCGAGACCGCCTCCCCGTCTGCCCACCACCAGCGCTAGGTACAATTTCCTTCACTTTTCCCACCCCACAAGGGAGACCCCATCAGCTCCTGAGGTGTCACTAAGCCTGCCCCTCAAGCTCCACCCCCAGCGAAAATCCATACACCAGTGACCCTTTGTCTCAGGTCCCCACTCACCCTGCCATCGATCTACCTGGGGATTGAACTCAGGCCCTTGCACTCGCCAGGCAAATGCTTATTTTACTGAGCCATCTCCCTGGCCCCTTATTATCTTTTTAGTCTTTTATTTTATTTTTTGGTACCAGGATGGAACTTGGCCTTGCCAGGCAGGCCCTTAAACTGCTGAGCTATTTCCTCGGCCTCTAGTCTTTATTTTTTAAAAGCAGTTTCATATTTACAGTAAGTGAAGCATGAGGGCCAGAGGGCTCCATACTCTCCCTCTTTTCTACCCCTGCCTCAGCATCCCCCGTGCTTAACACCCCTCATTGAAGTGCTGTTTATGAGAATTGGTGAGGAAATGCTGTTAGTGTTGAGATAGGGTCTCGCCATGTAGCCCAGACTAGTCTCACACTCACGGCGACCCTCCTGCATCAGCCTGCGTGCTGAGATGACGGGCGAGCACCACCTTGCCCGGCTTCAGTCCCCTCCTCCTGTCAGTGCCCAGCACCTCTCTTAGGACTAAGGCTGGCCCTGGCCAGGCCAAGCTCCGGTTCTCCAGTCTGCATTTTAAGCAATCAGAAGCAGGTGCAGAAAGTGACTTGGTATCTCTCCTGCTTCATCTTTTTCCAAGGCCGCCTCTCCCTGGCTCTTTACAACAACACCCCACGGCCCCAACGAGTTGTCCTTTCCAGCAGAGCTGAATTCCTCTTGCAAATATTTTCCTTAGCCTCTTCCTGTGTGAGGCTCCTGACCTGGCATCTCTGTGCCCTGCAGCTGAGCCGCGTGTGTGCAGGAATTCCGGAGCTTTGCAGCCGCCTTCGGGCCTTTGCTGCTCGCTCTAACTGGCCGGGCTGGAGGCTGCCTGGCTCCCCGGGGAGCCTGGCATCCCCCGCTGAACCTGTGAACTCCTGCTCCTTGTGGTGCTCCTCAGAGCCCAGGACCCAGTGGGAAGCCAGGCAGGGCTCAGCTGCATGAGGCTGGGGCAGGAAGAGGGGTCACAGGTGCAGGGGCCACAGATGTGCCTGTGTGAGAGGAGGGAGGGGGCCCCATGCACCCCACACTGCCCAGTCTGGGTCTCTGCCACAGGATGAGGCTGGCCTCTCCCAAACTGACTGCCCCTCAGGCTTTGCCTGCTCACCCAGCAGGGTGGATCCTGGTGACATGGCTGTGTGACCCACAGCAGGCCACTGGTCCTCTCCGGGCCACCTGTGCAAGCTCTTAATCGTAACCTAGGAAGTGTGGCTCAGTCCCTCAGCAGCAAAAGCCCACCCCTCCCTCACGCTGTGCAGCACCTGCCTGACATGCACAAGGCTCCGGGTTCCAGCGCCAAAAACAACACACAATAGAGTACATTGCCAGGTGTGGTGGTCCTCACCCATAGGCGCAACGTCCAGGAGGCTGAGGCAGGAGGGTGCCAGTGTGACCCAGCAGCCCCCTCCTCGTGTTTGCAGCAATAAGGGAAAACACGGACGCGAGCGGGAGCAGGAACAGCGCTGCCTTTCCCGGAGCGCGGGTGCCCGGGGAGGCGCTTTTCCTGCTGTGCGCGCACGCATGGGCTCCGGGCCCCAGGCGTGGGGTGGAGCTACCTGCACTGGCCTCCCCTCCTGTCCCCAATTCCAGCCCTTGGGGGTCCCCGGACTCCGGATTCCCCGTGGCCCCGGGCTTTGCGGCCTGGCACGGCGCTCTCACACCTGCGTGGCTCCCTGGTGCCCGCCGCGGGGTCCACCTGGGTACACGCAGTGAGCCCCGCCCTCGGCCTGCCCCCTCCCCTCTCAGAGTTCTGGGTTGATGTGGGGAAAGGGGCGGCAGATTGCGGTTATCAGGGCGCAGTGGGACCTGCCTGGGCCACCAGAGCCACCAGAATGCTGTCAGCGGGGTGGAGGGCAAACAATGCCTAAGCCTCTTCAGTCCCGCGGGGCTTAGTCACGGGCCCCGCCCGGGTCCCCCCAGCCTACCGCGCCCTCCACCGCCTGCACACCAAGGCGAGGCGCGGCCGCTCATCCAGTCCTTGCTCAAACATTTGTTTTCAAGGCAAGACGCCTGCAGGGGCCCTCGCCCTCCAGGCTGCCTCAGGTCCCAGGGCCTGGCCAGCTCCCCAGGAGCCCGTGTCCCCCAGAGGACCCAGGCGCCGCCCCGCCAGCACGAGGGCGAGGGCGAGCACGACAGCAAAGAGGCCAGGTAGAGGCCATGTGCAAGAGCGACCCGAGCTGGGCGAGCGGGGCACGTCTGTTGTCTCACTCTCGGGAGGCCAAGGCAGGTGGACCGCAAGGGCAGACCCCCGCCCCCAGTTTAGGAGACCGAAAGCAGAAACACAAAAACAGAGCGTCCTCGCACCGCACACCTGTAATCCCAGCACTCTGGGAGGCTGAGGCGAAAGAATGGCGGGTTCAAGCCCAGCTCAGGCAACTTATCAACTCAGAGAAACCTCACCTCAAAGTAAGAAAAGGGCTGGGGATGTCACTCAGAGCTGCGGCCCGGGTTCCATTCCCTCGCCTGGTTGGTGGGGGATAATCTCACAAGAAGTTGCAAAACCAGCAGAGTAATGTGCGGGGGTGTGTCCGCCTTCCATCACAGTCACAGATCTGCAGAGAAGGGCCGGCCAGATAGCTCAGCAGATTAAAGTGTCTGCTCAGGCAGAGGAAGGGGCTGGCGGTTCCATCCCCAGTGTTCCAGCAAATGAGACTGGGCCTGTGGTGGTGCGCCCCTGCAATCCCAGCGCTTGGGAGGCTGAAAAGAGGATCACTACAAGTCCAGTCTGTGTAGTGAGCCCCTGTAGACCCTGCACTAAATACATTTATTATTTTTTTAATTCTTTTTTTATTTTTTTTATTTTTTTTATTTTTTTATTCTCTTGCGGTACCAGGGATTGAACTCAGGACCTTGTGCTTGCCAGGCAAGCACTTATTCTACTGAGCTATCTCCCCGGCCCACTAAATACATTTAAATAATAAAATTAAGAATTTTTTTTAAATCCTTGGCAGTGCTGCCTCAGCCTCCTGCACCACCACACCCTACTTGGCTGTTCTTTGTGCATCTCAGTTAGATGCCAGTTTGTCTGCATAGTCACAAAGGTGGGGCCCGGCAGGGGCTCCGTGGAGACCCTCAGGCTAATGGCTTTCTGCTTACTTAATAAATAAGAACTCTGGAGCCAAAACCAGACAAAAAAAGACAGCAAATGTGCAGCTGGGCAGCCGCCCCTTTCTCTCCTCAGGCTGCCCTCCACTCCACAGGGCTTCTTCTCAGTTCCTCCATCTCTGTGTGTCCCCCATTTGCTCCTTGTCTTGTGGTTACAAAACAGCTGCTGTAGCACCAGATGTCACATTCACATCCAAGGAAGAGGGGATAATGAGGGGGCCCTACCGCATTGCCCCTTTATCTGGAGAGGAAAAGTTGCACTATGATCTCTATGATACACTGT